TACGAGGTCCGTCGCCAAAATCCCTCGAGTAGCTTAACAGTATCACGTTAATATTCACTCACTCACTCGAGTACATTTTGTAGCCTGACTGATGCACATTAAAACCGCCAGTACTCAATGCCCTGACGTTGACGGATTAGAAGTAGGATATCAACTCGGGTGATTTCCTGAAAGTGTTTATAAATTATTAAACCCAGCGTCATTGATACTCGTGTTATACTTTTAAGTGCAACGTCAACAGTGACACTATGTTGATATGATAAATTTTATCAAACTCATATCAGAGATTCATAGAATGTTCTTTTCGTTGCTTTTGTTGCTATGACTGATTTCTTAGAAACATCGCATTTCAAAACTACATTAGGAATATTGTCAATAGACTTAGCAACTTTGAACTAAGATGAGGCCCTTGAGTGGGCATTTCCCTCTCCAAATTACCGCACCTCTTCATTAAGGGAGGACTAGGCTTGAACATATTCAAGTCTAGCAACGCTAGGGCTCTAATCCACAAGTCTACAGAAACAACGCCATCTACGGGCTTCCCTCTCGCCGGTTAAAGTGTAGAATAGAGGGTCCTTTGGCGAAGCCGATGTTTTGGCGACTAAAACCAGCCGCCTACCTACCTATGTAGCGATAGGTGTTCCGAGAGTAATGAAACGAAGCTGAAGTAACGAAGAGCCGAATTCATTCTGGCAACTAGATAAAGGTCGCCAAATCCAAGGGGCCTGCGTAAACTTTGTTACACAATTAACGGTTATCATTGTCTATTTCTAATATATTGTAACTCACACTAATCACCGCCAATATGCCTCGTAATTTTGAGCCACCATCACATGACGAGGTTGACATATGAACTAGTATACGACTCTCTGCGTCCACGCCACATAATGATTTCCATCACTGTGCATTGCATTTATTTCATAGACGAGTAATATTGCCTTTTCCTTTCTATGCCCCTTTGTATAATGGCCGTGGTAGCCGAGTGGTATAGGTATCGGATCGGGGCTTGCTTTGTCACGAGTTCGAGCCCATTACCACTAAAGACCCACCGTGTAGGGCAGCGATGCACGTTAAATCTGACCAGAGTTCAAACGTCCTTCAGTTGGTGTGGTGTGGTAGTTAGGAGAGGGGGTGCCAGCTCCAGTGTCGTCCACGTCACTTGACCCTGGTTTAAAATTACGTGGTCCGTCGTAAAAAGCCCTCGTGTAGCTGAACAGTGTGACGTTAATATTCAATCAATCAATCCCCTTTGTATATTTTTTACTATTATACAATCCTCGAGTTTTCTCAATTCTTTATCATCTGCTGACAAAGTAATAGCTACAGTGAAAATTGTTTTGCACGAAACTGAAGGGACTGAAATATTTGTTCGTGTTAAGGCTGTTTTCGCCATATGTACAAGAGCGTGACAGCGTGGAGCACATTTTTAGACAGAAAAAATGCTTCAATTTTTATAAAAATTTGTGACATTGTAACTCATGCATTTGTTTATAATATAGTATTTTTAAATCTAAGAATTTTTCACATAATTAATTAGTTTTTCCTTTTAACTTGTAAAGGGAGAGCTCATTTAGCATTATAGAAAAGGAGAAAAATGCGAAACACATTTTATAAAAGAAAAAATGTGTCAACTCGTATAAAAATGAGTAGTATCATAAAATAAATGATTCTCTACAGGATAGTGAAACCAGAATATAATATTAATGTTTGAGTACTTTTATATATGAAAAAATATGCATCTCATTTGAGTCCTATTCATTAACATTAGCCGAAAAAAGCCTTAAATGATAGTGCAAATAAATAAATATTCACCCAAAATGAAGTTCATTAGAAAACGTTTTATTTACAATACAAATCAATGAAACAAAAACATTCACTAGAAGTTAGTGACATTTAATACAGATTTTTAAAGTTTTTTGAGAAAAGCAAAACATTTATTCAGATTTTTTTCTAAAAACTGATGTTTTTCTTTGCATTGTCTATTAGCATCTAATTGTCAACGAGTTGTTCGATGTCGTCCATTTTGTTACTTCTTTCACTATTGGAATGTGCGTCTAAATAATTACGCATACTTTTCCTACTTTTTCTCATTTCAGATGACATGGGAACAGGAGCTGTATTATTCATTTCATTTTTGCCATCGGAATCAATGGTATCAACAATATTTTTTTTATCTTTGAACAAACTCGAAGATATCTTTGTCTGCCATAATTGAGGCTTTGCACACACATTATCATCATCTACTGCAACTAATCCTTCCGATGATACAGTAAGACAGTACAATAATACAGAAAAATAATATGAAACCACCTCTCTTTCATTTCACACCCCTCTTAAATCTCTGGTGTTTTCCATATTTTGTTCATCTCCAGAAGGGATATCTTTTCGTGTTAAGAGAAAAAAACTGCATGAAATTACATAGTAGTTGTTCGGGACCGTTGGGGTTAACCAATATTTCGTCTTAAGCGTTTTCGCTTTAAACGTATTTCACTGTATTTCTAACTGGCGTGACATTTCTTCTGGGTTTGCAGCCCCGGGATCCCGGGATTTTGAAATCCCGGAATTAAAATAGCTAATCCCGGGATTTAATATTTTTGTCTGAATTATATTTTAAAAATTTTTTTCTAATCAAAATTTTCTAAGAATTTAATTCTTAAAAAAAAATAAGTTTCGCTTATCAAATATGTACATAGAATTTTTTGTGCAACTATAAATGCTATAAGCCAATATATATGCATCTCTTGTTTCTCGTACGAGAGAATGTCGCACAGATCTAAGTGGTTGCAATACTTACATAATAATATAAGCATCATCTCAAGAACAGATTTCGTCACAATTCTTTCTTCAATTAAATGCCTTAATTAATAGCGGGCCTACTTGAAAGACAAGACTTGAGACACTTCAAATCCCATTGCCTTACTAACAGCTCATGCAACTGGATGCTCTATTTCAAATAAGGTAACACTTGAAATTGATTCACATTCTGATTCAATAACTGGATCAATTTATACAAAAAAAACCCCATTAAGTGCCACAGAAGAACTAGATAAAGTTATCAAAAAGGTATATGCACCAATGCAAAAGAGACACTCATCAAAAATTCAAAAACAATTATTTTTTTGAAATTGGAAGGAGACGTGGTGACTACCTGAAAAGAACATACTCCTATTTAATGACGATAACACCTACTGGTATAGAATCCATACGAGCATTTTCTTCGGCAGTACAATTTGTCACAAAAATAAGAAGCCGTTTGAATGATGAAATGCTGGGCGAGATGTGTTTTTAAAAGCTTATTTACAGATACACAAGAAATGAGAAATGTTTTTTTTTAATTTCATTATGTACTATTTTTATTTGTTTTTCATGATGAATTAAGTTTTTTTTATTTGTTTCAATAAAATTAATATTAAACCAGTTTTTAATTATATATTTTCAGTTTTATTTTTCAATTTCAACCATGCTAATGTGTAAGTATTATTAATAAATAGTCAAATTCTAATCTCGGGACCAATTCCGGGATTTGGATAATGTAATCCCGGGATTGAATATATATACATATATTCACAGAATTGCAAATCGTATTTCTTACTCCAGTCGACGTAATTTCGTCCAGTCGACGTCCTGTTTAAGATTCATATTCTACTCTTCGAACTTAAAACCGTAATGCAAATATTTTTATGACCAAAACGCACACAATGAAACAACCTGTGAGCTTCGCCAATGGCTTGAAAATTATCCTAGCATTTACTGCGATAGTATGAATTAATTACCTCTGTGGCTTTCGAATAAGCACAGGCAAACAGAAAGCACGTCCCCAATAACTTTTCTTGCCACACTTACCCATTGACCTAGTGGTAACTTACGCTATTGGCAGCTGGACTGGAAAAGAGAGAGGGGAAACTGGACCAAACACGTTTTCAAACATTGTTTCAGACTCGGGATGATTATGAGGATGTTTGGGGAGGAAGACGCAATTAGTAGTTCGCCGGCGGAAATGAAATGATTTGTTTGCAGTCTGTTTTAAGTGAGCAGAGATGATTAAGTCTGTTAACATCATTCATCAATCCTCTCTTTCTTTTTTTTGTATGTCGTTTCGTTGTGGACAGTCCATTGTCTAGATCTGGTTGGATAGAGATCATTTCAAAATCAAAATGCGTCAACTAGTTTGTCAATTCTACTAGAAACCAGCTCCAGCTATGCTGTGTTTACTACTTTAGGCAAATGCCGGACTTGGATTCGATTAGGGTGATTTCGCCGAAAAGAAATTGACCTGGTAATTTTAATAATTGGGTTGAATATATCTGCTTATAATATTCATAAATCGTCCTTATTTTAATTATTTATCTTACGATTTATATTCATTAGGTGTGGTTTTACCTGGAATTTACTTATAAGTTCTTCCATCATTCTGAAAATCTTACTGGACTAAAAACCTTGGAGCTACTGCTGATCCTTTTACTCTGTCTAACACAAATATACAAAAACCTATTAAGACTAACAGAACAATAGATTTTTCGTGATTGATGGAAAAACTGTACATCAATGATAAAATCAAATATCAATCGTCTTCGCAACTGCATATTTCTCGCAATCCAAACTAATTTTGTAAATAATATTATTATTGGTTAACCCTTTCGTGGGCCTTGAGTGTGAAGATTTTACTTCCCTTCTACATGATCTTACAAAATACACCTGTGAGAAGCGCAAACCCCATTATAATACTTTAGCCTTGCTACTATTAGAATGGGAAGACTCATTTCCGCTTCAGTTTTGTGCTATTGCACATAATCCAGCGATTATGACATCTATAAATCGGACAAAAAAAGATGGTATTAAAGAGGTACCTTGTCCAAAAGCTGTCTAGGTATATAACGATGTCAAGGGAGAGGTTGATCGCTTCAATCAAGGAAAAGAAAGATATCAAATAAGAAGATCTGTAAAAGGGTAGGATCGTATCTTTTATTTTCTTATTGGCCTTGCCATCATAAATAGTTGTCGCCCAGCAAGTATGATGGATATGACCCTCAGCTTGTAACCGAGTGGGTTCGGGTTCGAATCCCGAGTAAGGCATGGTTGTATCTTCTTGGGGAAAAGGAGTCGGACTTTCGCATGTAATGGATTCCCGTCTTGAATGGAAACCAGTGCACCCCTTCTGTTATATGCTGGGATCATCATTTGTAATAAATGTCTATATTCTTCTGTTTGTATTGTAAGTTTCTGTTCTTCTACTCGTATTTTATATGTATCCCAATATTAAAAAAACACAACAACATCACATAAATAGTTTCATTCTGTGGCGAAAGAAACAGAAGTTTAGACCAGCTAACATACCGTATAGCATTAGCTCGTCAGCTAATAGGCCGATATTCCTCAAGAAAAAAAGAAAGGACGGTCTACTAGCTTCCAGGCAAAGAAGTGTGTAGTTCCGGATGATGTACGCTTAGCCAGTATGAGAAATCATATGTCAAAGATGGTTTCCAACTATAGACATTGTAGAAAATGTTGCAGAAAAGGACAAGAAAAGAGGACCCACTACATGTGTGCAGAATGAGATGTCCCCTTGTTGCATTGCAACATGTTTCTCATTTTTTCATGGCAAAAAAATCCCCATTAAATTTAAGTTTCTTTATGACGGTGAATGGCTCCTTGAGAAGTATTCTTCCCACCCCTAAAATTTTATTATAAGTATAAAATTCAATAAAATTTAAACGCTATTGTTTAATTGTTAACAAAACATAAAAAAACTGCGAAAAATTCAAGAGAAATAAATGGACCACAAAAGGGTTAAGTAAAAGTTAAATATATTAGCAAAAACTCGTTAATTTATGTTTCCATAAATACGTAACAAGCAAATCGGTCGATGCAATTAAAAAGACAGTGAATTCCGGTAAGTCTATAATAACTTTAAGGTATCCGACTACGTTCGGAACTGTGATTTTAAAATACCGCATAAATGGGTAATTTTCATTATATTTAGTATCACTTAGATTAGAATACATGCATAAAATTGTTTTAAGGACATTTTGACAAAAAAAAATTTATTTAAATATAATATTTTGGCAAAAAAATTAACTTAGAATAACATTTTTTCAAAATTTTTCCCCTTTTGGGAAAAATTCTTCTATTATGATAATATTTTGCCTGTATATAGCTCAGACCTCTCTACAGAGGCTCCAAAGAGGCTACAGAGGCTCTTTTTTAAGAAATGGAAATATGGAGATTTTTTTTGCAGTTTTTAGATTTATGTAGTACATTTTAAGAAAAAAAGGCTAAAATTAAGAAGAGAAAAATAAATTATTACTACTAAAATGGGGGGGAGGTAAAAATTGGCGGCAAAAAACTACATAAACGGGGCCCGCTCTGTACAAATAGTAAATGAACAAATTCTCAATTTTTCAATTTTGATGTATTACTTTGTTATTCTTTTGTGGCCGCGGTAGCCGAGTGGTATAGGTATCGGACCGTGGCTTGCTTTGTCATGAGTTCGAGCCCAGTACCACTAAAGACCCGCCGTGTAGGGCAGCGATGCACGTTAAATCTGTCGAGAACTGAAACGTCCTCCCGTTGGTGTGGTAGTTAGGAGAGGGGGGTGTCAGCTCAGGTGTCGTCCACGTCACTTGACCATGGTTCAAAATTACGTGGTCCGTCGCCAAAAGCCCTTGCGTAGCTGAACAGTGCGACGTTAATATTCAATCAATCAATTGTTATTCTTTTTTGAAGTGACCTTCAGGATAAGAGATATTTTAATTTTTACAAAAACTAGAGACCTCTCTTTATCTTAGTTACATGTTTATAGTTTTAGTTATAGTTTTATATTCATACATAAAAACTGTAAATTTTGTAATAAAACAGTGATTAATAAATCTGAAGGTTAAAACACTTCTACTATTATACAGAAGATACACAAAAAAATTTAGCAAATTATTTTAAAAACTTTTTGAGCAATCGCTGACCCTGTTTGAGTTTTCGAAAAAAAAACATATCGAATAAAACGCATTTTAAAGTTGACATCTTATGTAAAATTATGGCATCTTTTGCTAAAACATTTGTAGTTTTTGTTTGAGTGAATGGAAAATAAAAACTTGTTATTTTTATAAAGCTAATAATATAGCCTATAGAATAAAATCATAAAAAATGTGTAAATTTCAAGTTGAGCCTCTGTAGAGAGGTCTGAGCTATATGCAGGCAATATATTATTATAATAGAACCATTTTTCACAAAAGGAGAACATTTGGAAAAAAGATTATTCTGAGTTAATTTTTTAAACTCAATTTTTAGCCACTTTAAAAGGTCAGATTAATTCGAAATTTTGCACACTTGTCAAAAAAGGACCGATGACAATACAATATAATGTCATAATTTTATTTCATTGTCCTGATCAGGATCCTCATAAAAAAGGATTTTAAGGATTTCGAGATTTGGCGACTAATTTATTATATCGTTTCCAGATTTGGCGACTAATTGCATAAACCATTTTCAGATTTGGTGACTAATTCCAAATGCCATTTCCAGATTTGGCGACTAAAAGATTAAGGAGCAACCCTATAACCGCGAATACGCTTGTAGTTAATACAAATAAAACAAAAAATAGAGTTATTTATGTAAAAAAGGGTAGGGTTAGTGCGTAGATTTTCTAAAAATGGAAATAAAAAAATACTCGTGCATGTGAATAAAAATAATTTATGTCCTTACTGCTAAATATTTCTTATTTTTATAAAGCAATACTTTTAGAAGTGATGATACGAATTAACATTACAGCAATATGTTTAAAATGTGATAATACGATTGACTTTTAATACCTCTTCTTAACACACTTTAATTAGTTAGACCTGTATCTATAGAGACGGAATCTTTGAAATATAACGATATGGGACTCATCCGAGGCCCTGTAAACGGAGAGAGAGAATAAACACCCTTCAGACCCATCAATTAATATCCACTGAAGAGCAAGACTAATTCCGGCTCCACATATCAAACTCAAGGATAAATTCAACAAAGAATAAATGATAGTTTTAAAAACTAGAAAAACAAGTTTTTATTGCAGATCGAACTAAAAAATGAAAAATATATATATAAATGGTAGTTTTAAAAAAAACTAAATAAACATGCTTTTATAGTGAATTGGACTAAAAAGTAAAAAAATAATTTTTAATATAAGAAAAAAATGATTCCGAAAAAAAAATGAGAATGTCATTGTAGTAAAAGCGTGGGGTGCTTTGTACTACATTTTTACACTAACTCAGCATTTCGGAATAAAACTAGTGATAAATTATAACAATTAATATAGAGCACCCCACGCTTTTACCACAATGACATTCATTTTCTCGTTAATCATTTTATTCTTATATTAAGAATTATTTTTTTACTTTTTAGTTCAATTCACTATAAAAGTTTGTTTTTAGTTTTTTTTAACTATAATTTACTACACAAGCAGTGTACAATTCAAGAGTCCTGCTCCATACCTTTATTCAAAATCTTGAGAACAATAGATGAACAAAACATTACATTATCTACATCTCTCTTTTCCTACTTCATTTGCTTGCTGTATGAACACTTCTAACTCCTGTTTCTGTTTTTGTTGCTGCATATATCGGCCACTTTAACTGATAACTGTTCTAAGAAATTGCCTGAAAAAATTGTACACTTCTTTTTAAATGTTGAATAATTTATGATAAAGTTTTATAATGCTTGATGTATTCCAGCCCAGGTGGGTTTCAGCCGAATTAAACTGGTTCGGGCAATTTTCTGAGGAGAGGTCAGTTACTCTAGTCTACATTATTAATAAAATAAAAACATGATCAAAAACTAAGTAAATTTTTATTGAGTTCATCTTTAATCTGAATATCAAAATCTTCCGCCTCATTTTTTGTAATTTTTCTTTTATTTAGTCAACATAAATATAAGAGGACCTTATATAGGAGGGCTGTTTTTTAAGTAAGGTCCGTTTGTTTTTAAAATAAAAAACCTTTATTTTAGGAATGTACATACTTTTGCCTATTTCTCTGCATAGTTGCCGAGTTTATTAATGCACTTGTCATACCTTAGAACTAAGTTTTGAAAACCCTCTTCAAAGAAGTCTGCCGCCTGGTAGGACAGCCAAGAGTTCATTACCGCGTTCACTTCGTTGTAACTGAAACGCTTCCCGCCATGACTGTGTTTGAGGTACCGGAAATGGTGGAAATCGCTCGGAGCAAGGCTGGGGCTGCATGGTGCATGGTCTAAAACCTCCCAGCCAAAAGATTCGATTAACTCCCGAGTCGTTAGAGAAGTGGGAGGCCTTGCGTTAGAACACTATTGCCATAATCTTGCGCTTTGACAGCGTTTGTTTGGATTTGACCTTGACGGAAGAGGATGTGTGTTGCCATTCCATCGACTGTTGCTTTGATTCCGGCTTTGATATGGAATATCCATGCTTCATCTCTAGTAACGATTCGACTCAACATGTCATCCCCTTCTTCCTCGTAACGAATCAAAAAGTCCAATAAAATGGCAAACCTCTTCTCTTTGTGTTCCACTGTGAGTAGTCTGGGTACCCACAGAGAACACAATTTCTTAAAGTTGAGGTCTTCAGTCCCAATTTTGTACACCACCAACCGAGAAACTCCAATGAAAGAGTGGCTATCTCGTGAATCTCCTGTTCTCACGAATTTTTGTTTCAACTGCTTGCATCAAATCATCAGTGATTACAGAGGGCCGGCCTGAGCGTTCTTCGTCATGGACGTTTGTTCACCCATCTTTAAACTTCCTGACCCATTCTCAAATTTTGTTGTCACTCATTGCTTCTGTGCCATAAACTTCTGTTTGTTATCTGGCGATGAATGCCTGCAGCCGACATGTTTCTCGCAGTCAAAAAACGGATAACAGAACATATCTCACACTTGGTGGGCGATTCAATCACCTTAAACATTTTAAAGACGCACAGCGAATCTTACACGACTGCTACAGCGATGGAAATTTCACGAGTGTGTTTGCGAAGGATGCTGGTCAGTGACGAAGAGACTCGTTGCGGCGCACGGGCGAACTAAGGAACGATACGCGCCAACGGACCTTACTTTAAAAATATCTCTCGT